GTGCGGGGGTGGGGATAGTTCGGCAACAATGATTTTGAAAATGCTCGGAATAATCACCTCGTTCAAACAGCCCTACTCTGTGAAGCCATTTTCTAACCCGTCGAAAGTTATAGCCAGTTGGCTCGGGGTGAATTTATTATTTGAACGCGAGTTATCTATTCTCTTTGAAAATGCTCAACATAATTGTAACGTTTATATATGTTATTGTTTTTGTAAGTATTTTGAGGGTTTTATTATATATAGAAATAAACAGGATAAATGTTTTAGTCGATTTGTACTTATCTGTGTCATTTTGCTCTGTCAGGCAGGGGGTAGATTTTGGAAAATGTTTCAATTATCATTTAAAACAATTAATTAACAAAATATGTAATTCAAAAACTTCCAATATAAAAGATATCAACTCAGTCTTAGTTGACACGCCTTTTTTTTTCTATTAAAAATGATTATTGACTATTTTTTAGGTCCTGCAACAGATATATAGAAACGGCGGTAATACAGTACAATAAATTTGAATATTATTGTTTTTAGCTTAACACATGCAGTATATTTCCTAACATTAAGCAGGAATACCAATCAAACGAACCATACACACAATAATGTCACAGATAGGTCCAACAGACAAGGAAATAACGGTATTAATCTATTGTTTCATATTAACTGAATGAAAATACTAGGTCTAATACTATAATATAAACTGGAGAAATCATTTTAATGCAATGATGATGATACTAGTATGATAGTGATGTGATGATGATAATCATAATAATGGTTATGATGATAATGACGATGATGATGATGATTATGATGACGATGACGATTCTGTGATGGTGAAGATGATGATTATACAAATATAACCACATTATCTAGTGTTACAAATGTAAAAAGACATATTTGAATTTCCTGGATAGTGTGAACGATTGTGTTGAGGAGATGAGGAGATGAAGAAGAAAAAATTCATTCGAGTATATACGAGAAGGTACGGAGAGATTGCTGGGTGCAGTAAAATTAGAAAATTGCTCAAAAGTATGGTCAAGCAATTATCGTGGAGAAACAGAAAATTAAGCACAAGGGAATATTTGGCAACAGCTACAGAACAAGGAAAGAATATGGACAGATGGTACAGGTTAACAAGTTGAAAAATTGAAGAAAGAAACTGTAAGAACAAGATCAGGCACAAATAATGAACCTAGCTAACAATTGTACTTTATACAAATGTTATAATAACGTGGTAGTTTTGTGTTTAAAACGTTTTCAAGTAGAACCATAAATACGCATAATGTAACTGACTAAATATCGTTACAAACGTTGCTGCGACGTCGTGTTGTTTTCTGACATCACATGACCACCACAGAATATTTTAACATTTTGTGTGTGCTGGTAACGCAGTAAAACACATGATTGATAATATTTAGGCCTATATCAATACAAAACCAATGAGGTTCATCCACAAAGTACTTCATCGACGTCATCAGCATTAGATTCCGTGCTTCATATACAAACACAAATATATTTGTAATATTGTCAAAAATATTTGGTAATATTCTAATGTTCATAATTTCAATTCGCATTGTTGTAATTGGAATTGAAATAAAGTATAGCTTACTTTATTTCCAAGCTTTCGTTGCTATCTCAGCAACTTCAGGACAACTGATGTATTTACACAGATCATGTGGCAACACCTTCTCCTACTGGTACCTCGTATCCACGGTCACTTTTGAGGGTGGGGTGCCTGGTCCGAATTTCCATAGACTCTCTTCCTTGGCCAATATATCACTTCTCGGTAGATAACTATCATATTCTTCTGAGTTATTTTATAATTAGCTTTAATATGTTCTCCTACTGCAATGAGTGTTTTCCCTTTGGTTTTCGCATGTTCAGAGAATCTCGATTCCAATATTTTATTTCAACTAATTCCAATTACAACAATAACCAATTGAAATTTATAATACAAACTTGAATTCTAATCCACATATAGTTAATAATTAAAAAATCTTACAACATCCAAATTTTATTAGTTATACTATGACAAAATTAAAAGTAAAAACAAAAAACAATTGCCAAAAAAAATGTCTGGTTTCTCCAGGCCTACTTGTGGTTTAATATTTTTTTGCTTCGTTCCGAGGTGATCCACGACGTCTAAACACCCTCATCATCATCTAAGCATAAGACGATCCATGTAGACCTACAGCGACATAGCTATGACGTACTGGAAGATATGTATTACAATTCCGAGCTTTGTGTATCTCCTCCAGTCGGTCCTCTAGAACCTGGAAAGTAGGTCTTCGTTGAGGTGCTTTTCTCCAGCAATCTTCTATCAACTGCCACCTAAATAGGAAATAAAAATTGGTTGTTAAAAAACGTGTTAATATTTGTTATTTGGTCTACATTTTAAATAGCTGTTATTTAGTGTACAATTTAAATACATCGTATGCTCAACAAATCAGATCACAAGAAACTAACTCATACTTTCACCTACAAAGACTCTAGAACTTATTTTACGCTAAAGATCATTCAAAAGCTCAATGACAGAGAATAATGCTCAGATATGGGTGAAGAATATATCTCAGTATAAGAGAGGAAATATTAAAAGCTCAAAGACAGAGCAGAAAGGATCAGAACATATTCAATAAAATAGTAGAAAATTCCTCAGAAATAGAGAAATTAGTTTTAGAGAAGAAAATAATGGCTCAGAAAGAAAAAGATATTCTCAAAGAAAGAGAGCTAAGAAATGAGAAGAATAACCCTAGAAAAGAACAGAATAGTTTAGTAAAATATTTAAAAAAAAAATAGCTCAGTGACAAATCTCAGGGACAAAGCGGAAAAGATCAGTAAAAACAACGAATAGCTCGATAAGAGCAGGATAGTTCAAAAAAAGAAAATGAAAAGTTAGAGAGACAAGCACCTCAATGGGAGAGAGCAAATGATCCATGGTAGAGAAGATAAGAATAGCTCAAGAAGAATGACTAAGCTCAGTAAGAGAGAATATAATCTCAGTGAGAGAGAAGAATGGCTCATAAAGAAAGAAAATTAGCTCAGGAATAAAACAAATTATGTCTAGCTTAGCGAGAGAGGAAAACACTTCAGTAAAAGAAGAAATAGCCCAGTGGGGATGAAATAATAGCTCAGAAAAAATGACTCAGAAATACAGAACAGCACAGAAGGAGAAGATTAATAAGAAAAACAAATCAGAATAGGTCTATCTCAGAGACTGAGACAAATACGTCAGGAGAAAAGTTCATTGTACTGAAGAATAGCCCAGCGAGAGAAGAAATGGCTCAGTAAGACTCAGAAAAGACAATCTCAGTGAGATAAACGAATTCATATAGATCAGGGAGAAAAAAATGGCTCTGAAAGACAGAGAATGCTTATAAGTCAGCAAGCTAGAAGATTAACTCAGATATATCATAGGAAAATACCAGAAGAGCTCAATGAGTGAGCCGAATAACTCAGTAAGATAGAAAATGGCTTAGTAGAAACGGATAGTTTATGGGGAGACCATAATTACTCAGTAAGAGTGATGCAATATTACCAGTAAGAAAGCGATAACATAGTCGCAGTAATAGCAGAAATAGTACTCAAGAGAATTGCGAGCCTGCATCACTTACATTTCGTCCGGACACTTATTAGTTGTCGGTTTCTTCAAACGTTTACCATTCGAGAGGTATTGTAACAAGTCACAGTTGTGAACACCAGGGTATGGATGTTGTCCAAAGGAGAATATCTCCCACATGGTGACACCAAATGCCCACTATAAATATTGATTAATGTATTTAATTAAAATCACTAAATAATTTCAATAACAACATAGTTCGAATGAAATATACTGTATATCTTGTTTATCTTGTCTTAAGGAAATCTTTTCCGAAATAAAATATTAAATGAATGAATGAATGAATGAATGAATACTTATATCAAAGACTTTAATTGCTATCTCGCCTTTTTAGTTTATCTCAGAACACTTATAGTTGCTTAAATTACTGAGCCTACAAAATATAAAGGATTATAATGGAATTTTCTACCCAACCAAATTAAACGACTTTGCTCACCACGTCTGTTTTCGTTGTGAAATTAAAATACTTAAGTGCTTCCGGTGCCAACCATCTAAAAGGCAGTTTAGTGAGTTTCTTCATTTGATAATTTGAACTGTAGATCTTCCGGGCTAGACCAAAGTCAGCAATCTTAACCGTGTAATTATTCCTCTCTCCATCTAGCCTTCAGAACAAAATAATTGCAAATAGGCTACCATAAAAAACGAACTGTAATACTTAAAGTGCATATATACCGCTATTGCTTACTACGAACCTTTACGTTTCCGAACGTAATCTTAACTCATCCAATAGTTTTTGTTTTACTTTTTGTTTCCCGCGCAACTACATGAATCATGACAAAGGTTTAGATCAATCTCGTTTTCTGTACCCACAGTTTTCATTTGCAACACAATCCCCCCATATTTAGACTATCTTTGTTCGGTTGCTTTAATCGGTTTCGAATTGTCAACAAAACCTCAATGATTCAGTTGGTTAAGACGTTTGCAGAGACAGCAGGAGGTCCTGGGTTAGAATTCAGTATACTAGATGTGTATAAGAGACAGACCATGGTGTGACTTACATGCAGTTTCTAGCAGCCAAGTCTCTATGAATGTATTTTTTCTGACTCAAAAACGACATCCCTCTGGCGATATGTAACGTGAACTCAATCAGTTGACTTATGGAATAGTTCTGGAATAAATGGTAAAAGGTGGATTCAATTTCGATCAAGATGTTAACGCCTCTAAGTCAGATTGTTTCTGTTTTAGAACCCTTTTCTTTACTTACTCTTTAATAGATAATACAATACACTAACTTAGGCTTACTAACAGATGTACAGGCCAATTCCTGTTGAAGCTATTGATTGAAATATAATTATAACAAGTTGCCTCGGTCTACAATGCTTAGATACACATTTCAGTAGGCCACCTGCGCTATAGAACGAACTATCTTGTCATTCATGTTCAAAAATCCATTAGAATGACTAGAAATGACAAAGCAAGGTAATAATAATAATATTATTATTATTATCTTTATTATTATTAATAAACGTGTCTTGTTTACATAACATTGTGTATTTCAAGTTGTTGAAAATCGTTAACATTAATTCTAATAACAGTTAAACAAGTAAAAATACCAACTTTTACTTCACGCCCTCTCCTTTTTTTAAATAGGTATGTTCGAAGATCACCGTGTTTCATATAGGGCATAACGACTAGAGGGTTTACGTATTCAGAATCGGATGAAGTTTCAATGGAAATTCCTGAAAAATAAAAAATCAATCCCAACGTTAGCAGCGAATGACTTACTACTGCTACTGCTACTGCTACTGCTACTGCTGCTACTACTACTACTACTACTACTACTACTACTACTACTACTACTACTACTACTACTACTACTACTACTACTACTACTACTACTACTACTACTACTACTACTACTACTACTACTACTACTACTACTACTACTACTACTACTACTACTACTACTACTACTACTACTACTACTACTACTACTACTACTACTACTACATATACACACACACACACATATATATATATATATATATATATATATATACATATATATATATATGTGTGTGTGTGTGTGTGTGTATGTGTGTGTGTGTTCACATACGTAACAAATTGGATCATAGTAAATTAGGGGCCCATAAGCTTCTTTATTAATATATTCCTCATATATATGAATAAGTTAATAAAAGCATTTCATATGTTAATTTCACTCGGTAGGTACGCGGTTCGGTACTGTAGTTTGGACTACTTTCATGAGAGTGCCAGTGGTGGCGCCAGGATTTGCCCGACGGGGGGGCCGAAGTCCCTGAAAGGGGGGAGGGAGGGCCGGTGCCCCCGACGAGGTGTTAGATTTCCCCGACGAAAGCAAAAAAGGTTTGGATTAAAAGGTTTGGAAAGTGGTCCTGGGGACGAAGCCCCCGGAAATTCAGGGGTTTCAAAGGCTACTTAATCGATTTTAGAGTCTACTAATATGTAAAAATACATATAATATTTTTTTCTCCCAGACGAATTGTGCTTTTTCTCCCTGACGGGGGGGGGGGGGGGGGGGGGGGGGGGGAGCTCTCCCTCTCCACCCCCCGCCGGCGCCACCCCTGGAGCATGCCAAATTTAAGCGGACGCGGGGAAAAAAGGTACTAGCCAAAATCGACCACCGCAACCCCGTATGAATCGTATGTCAACTGTGTAATGTTACCTTTACAGATCAAAGTTGTTTGCTGTTTAATATTTATGAGGTATAGTACCTGAAACAAATACAACATGGTTTTATTTTCCCTCGTTGTTGGAAAATTGGGACTACCACCTCACGAGAAGCGGGTAATCCCAATCTTTAGTAAGTAGAATCCACTACTTCGCCTCAAACCATGTTGTATAATATCAAGTAAATTAAATAAATATATTTCTAGAACACACAGAAGCATAATGAAGGTAATCAAAATCTAAAAAATACCATATGTCGGATATCTATAGCATACATATTATCAATATATCAATATTAACATAACCTAAATATATACCGGTATTTCTATATATTTTTTCAAACATGCTTATCAAAATAAATCTTTACCAATAACTTGAAGTATGTTGTCATGTTTTAGAGAGCTGGATATCGCGCCCTCTCTAAGGAAGTCCTCGAGTTCACAAATCTTGTATTTTTCTGAATGAAAATAGTAGAAAGATTAAGGTGGTAATAGTACTGAAGGTTCATTTCACTTAATTTTATTTGACAGGCATGCCAAAGTACAGTGTGAATGTAGTTTTATCAAGGAGTTGGTAATTGGTTCTATGTTTTGACCGGTGACCAACGGCTGATCGCCTTTTCCGATAATGGAATATGTTTAAAATAATTTTGACCTAGATTCTGCAGTACACTCATGCTCCTTTAGGGGGCCTATTTTTACCTTTGATTGACTTCACTGCAACCTGTAAGGTAGTTCCATTTGCTGTCAAATCCGCAAGATGAACGCTACCGAATTCGCCTAGAATAATGAAGATCAGACAATTTATTCACTTATTCATAAGACTAAAAACGTAGGATTGTTAATTCACATCCCATGACTTATATCAGCTATGAGCTACCAAAACCCTCAGTTTGGAAGAATGATGTGGATTTTTATATTAATAGACTGTCAGAGGTCTATTTAATGTATTTCCTTTAAAAACATTATCTACATTATTATTATTCTTTTTATTGATATAAATTATTATTATTATTATCATTATTATTATTATTATTGTTATTGTTATTATTATTATTATTATTATTATTATTATTATTATTATTATTATTATTATTATTATTATTATTATTATTATGTTACTAAAACCTACCTTAAGGGGAACTTACACAATGGAGAAATTAGAGAAGAATTAAAAAAACCACGTTAAGAAAAAATAACACAAAATATATTCCTCTTAAATCCGATTTAGCGCATATTAATAATAGTATTATTATTATCATTAAAATTATTATCATCTGTATTATTATTATTATTATTATCACTATTGTAATTATTATAATTGTTATTGGTAGTAATGATATTGCAGTTCGTAGGCCGAGTCATCAACTAAACACGTTTTACTCGAAAGCCCTAATGTTTCAGATTTAGGCATACATAATAACGCAAAATATGTTTTACCTTTTCCAATCAAATGACCAATACGAAGCTTTTGTTTATCGATTAACATGTTTTTGATTTCATCTTTAAGATTGTCGTTCACAGACAAATGCTCTACTGAAAGTAAAAATGTTTCAAAATGTTCGTTCAGAAAGAGAAACACGAAAGCTGAGAGTATAAAAGACTTCCTTATCATTATAATAATAAATGACAATAGTTGTCATTCCAGGTTGTCTACCTTATGTTAGTTCACTTCTCCTATCTCTAATATACATAGGCCTAATTCCCTCATTTTGTTATTTTTCACTGACTCTTTTTTTTTCATTTATCTCCCTCTGTTTTATGATACGGACATAATCAAATCCGAATGCACAGGTTACGAGAGTCGCCGAAACCTTTTATATTTTTGTTGCTTACAAACTCAATGAGAAAGCGCAACAGCATTGTGTTCCCAGACCCTGTAAAATGCTACTGCTGACTATACTTTGGATTTCTTTATAATAAAATATTTTCTTGACAATTTATTTTTTGTGTTTATCGCCCCCGTGGAGGCTGTAGAGGCTTAGTTATTGCAAACTAATTCTTCCATGGTTATTGCATGGAGGAATTGCTATTGTAGTTTCACTTGCAAGAGTAAATCCGGTTTCATACCACTGCTATAATAATAAGATAACAGTCTGCCAATCGTAAGCTTACGAATAATGCCATCCCTATCAACAATCTTTACTTGTACAGTTCCATGTCAAAAAAGGAAGAGCGGATGGATGGGTTACTAATTTTCAAAGCGTATTTTACAGTTCGCTTTATGCATAATACCAAGAGTTTCAGTCAGAATTTTTTTAAATAATTGACTCTCTACATAGAGTGTAGGTACCCAAGAAACTATGTCAAGAGTATACGGCACATGCCCAAACTGGGAGCCTATTTTCTACCTTTGCAGTACACCAGACCATCTCTTGTTACTCACATGCTAAACTATAGTTTACTGTAGATGATGTTGAATGTCTGGGTAGAAAGCTTCCATCAGACGGAGGGCGTACCAAAGTCTTCCAAAAATCTTCTATTTTTATAGAGGGCTGTCGCCTCTTCAAGTTTCTGTTAACGTTCAAATGATAAAACAGAATCAAATATCGATGTAGGTATAAATGAAATTAACTTATTAGCAATACAATGTTAGTATTTTCCTACGCCATAGGCCCAGGAAGAAATATTCCCATTTGGCGGCATTGAATGCTACGTTTATGTGTAATTTTAACTTCAAAATGTTTACATCTGTAAACCTTATTTTTATAATTTTGGTTTATATATAAGGGGCGGATTCAAGTGTATTTTTTAGGGAGAGGGGTGAACATTTTAGGTGGTTTTGGGACTATAGTTACGCTCTGTCTACACTACAACATTTTTTTTTATTAGTTTCCATTAAATTAGAGAAATTAGAGATGAAAAATGAATGAAAACAATGAAAAAAGAGTGACAATAAATGTGGTGGGTGACTCCAACGAAAGACAAAAAAAAAATTCTTTGACAAAAACAGTCGTATGCCCAAGTATAATGCCTATAAATGGTCATGATGTGATGTAGTCATGACCATATTTAGGCATGTCACATGTTTTTGTCAAATAAAATTTGATAGTCTCAGTCTTGACAGGGCTTTATATAGTTCTTTTCGGAGTCTTTCTAATTTGTAAACATCAAAGACAAGTCGGCCGACTGAAAAAATGTTTATATTTCGGTCAGCAAATGTGATAATATTTTGGATTGACACATCTATGTTGCTATGATACAAGTGAGAAATTCACTATTTTTCATTTTTGTCATTTTCACTGTTTTGAAAAGCAAATTTTGGCTAAAGGCCTATATAATATAGGCCATAATCTAATTTTTTTTTATATATTAGATACATTTTCAAAAAATCTCGAATAGTGTATGTAAGAACAGTATACGTTACCCAACTTTTTACCCAAACCATAAGCAGTGGCGGAATCAAGGAGGGCCGAGCCTAAATTTTTCAAAATTATAAATAAAATTTAGAAAAAGGGAAAATTTTAATAAAAATGTTCTTGCCGCAGCCCCAATCATGTTGGGGCTGAGATGGTGTAGGCTCTCCATCTGTCAAAGTCTCCCCATTCTTTAATATTTAGTAATAACAACTGTATATTGCTCTTTTGCATACACTATTCTATTTTCAGGAAATGCATAGAATAATAATTTAAAATATAAGATCAAAGTATAGCCAAAATTTGTTTAAAAAAAAAAATAATTACAATAATTAAAAACAATAACAATAATCATCATGATAAAACAATAAGAATGATAATAATAATAACAATAACAACAGGCTAATAATAATAAAATTACAATATAAATATAGATAAATATATATAAAAAGACCTTTTTCTTGTACGTAAACAGCAGAAAACAAACACGAAGAACAGAATAACTCCACCAACCGACGGCAATATTATGAGGAGCAGTTGCATAACTTCAGCTAATGATAAATATAAGAATATATATATAATGTCTCATTTATGAAAGATTATTCAATCATCTCAATCGTACATACATATATACAGTATATTTATATATATTATATATAAATATATATATTTAAGACATAGGAAAAAAATCTAGAGACAGCAAACGGAATTTTGTATATAGTAATATTGAAGCGTAACAGAAGAGGAATCTGACAAAAAAAGAAAAAACTCAGCCTATACAGAGACTCGAACCCGGGACCTTTCCCACCCGGGACCTTTCGCCCGCCCTCGCCCCAAAATCCGTCCCTGCATACATGGCGGACGTCATTTCCACTTGACCACTAAAGCGTTGTGATGATTCAAGCGCCATGTAGCAATGTAAAATCTGAGTTTCTTTCATTCTTTTAACGTGTCTGTCATTTTGATATAACACTAGTATTGCACGTCATAGACTGGCGGTAACCCAGTCACTCAGGCCCGTAGGCAGGGGGCGGGGGGTGCAGAGGGTGTGGACGCACCCCCACCCCCAAATTCTAAAAGGTCCACTTTTTAAAACATATTATTTCACAAAATCGTTCCTAATTATCACAAAATGCTATAGCATGCATTGCATTATATATTTGCCAGCATATCCAGCCGTTGATTTTAAATATGATATAAAATTTATTTATCGTCTCCGGTGACTGCAGATTGATCTACAATATGAACAATGTTATCTGTAGGCCTGCAGATGTACAGAACACAATAACGTTACTTCTTCAGGCCCCCCAAAAACCCCAAATTAATGAAAATTTAATATTCACGAATTATGTGTTTGTGAAATCTATTATATAAGACCCTCAAAATGCTACTTTGTCGGAGCCTCTTTGGGCTTTTCTCAAAAACCCCCTCCAGGTCTCTGCCCATGGACCACCAAATTTCAAAAAGTCCACTTTTTAAAACCTATTATTTCATTAAAATCTTTCCTAATTATCGCAAAATGCTATAGGCCTATAGTATGCATTACAATTTTTTTGCCCGCTCTTCTAACCGTTAATTTAATAATGTGCTAAGAAATATGTTGGAAATTATCAGCTCCAGTGACTGCAGATTGATCCATGTCATCTGTAGACCTACAGATGTAAAGGACATAAAAAGTTACAACTTCACAGTGGCGGATTAGGGGGTGGGGGAGAGAGCTCTCTAAAATTATAAAAGAAATGGCGAAAAAAATATCATAATTAAATTTTGTTTGAGAGTGCCATTTCTGGCCATCTAGAGGTGCCATAATCATAAATTTTCTTACTTAACCATGGTGGGGCTGAGGTCGTATTGACCATCTGTCTCTGAAAGTTCCTCCTGGCCCTAGACCCCACCCTCTATTTCTCCTGCTTTATGCCCCTAAACAATACCCCAAAAAACGAAAACGAAAATTTATATAGAATATTACGAATTATAGGTTTTAGAAATTCATTATAAGGCCTTCAAAATGCTAATTTGTCGGAACTTCGCCCCCCACTCCGCGGGATCTCTAGGCGGTAGCCCACCCTAAGGTCCACTTCGGTCGCAAAAACGCACCTCCCCATCGAAAATCCTGCCTACGGGCCTGTCACTTATAACTTGATAAAGGTTTACGACCGAAAGATCTGGTTGATTCTTATCTTCAATAACGTAGCAAATTACAGCTACCTTTGTATTTCATCCACTCGCTCTCAAGGCTAGTACTATGCTAGACATTCTATCATATGATTGAATGAGCACTTGTTTTTAGTTTAGTAAAATTGCAACTCATATCGATAACAAAGAAATTACAATTTTTCCATGGTAAATGTGTTTTTAAAAAGACAATAATGTGTCCACATTTTACTGGTTATTGGTGATATCATTAAGTCAAACAGAACAGAATTCATAATTAAATTTATCAATAATATTATCCTTTAGCTTAGACGTACTAAATGAGTTAGGTTTAGTCCAAACATGTAACAAATTACAATAATTCAGTAAAGAATAAATACATGATGAACAGGTGAATATATTATTCTCGTTGGCCGAAAAGCTGCAGTTGGCCGAGAGGTATTGTTTCAGCTTCTTGTGCTGAAAAACTTGGTCAAACTTGGTCAGCGTAGAATTTCAATCGGAGTATGATCATTACCACTCAGCTCATCGAATATCCCTCACATTGAAAGTTTGGTGAGATAAGGAACATTTTTGTACCAGTATGTATTCCGTACAACGGTACATGTTTTAGTTAAAGTCGAATGCGCTACACTGCGGCTACTGCGCCCAGCCCAAATTTTCAATTTTACGATGAATGAAGACAAATTAAGTATTATAATATGATATAGGCCAACATTACCCAAAAGTGTGTGTTTATGAGCCCTCCCCTCACAAGTTTCTGATTCCAATTGGTCCTTACCTGACTGTGATTCATTTTCTTTGTCCGGATCTTCATCTATATTACCATCTGTTGTTGACATATTATTCTGAACAGTTGTAAAAACCAATTCTGTGATCATAGACATTGTGGTCGTTGCAATATTCACATCATCTGAAGTGATATTTTCCATTTCCATTTCAATTTCTGTGCTCGGTTTTGATTATTATCAATTTAAATATGGAGCTTATCAAACTGATAAATGCTAATGAAAGGACATGATAATATCAATTAGTCGTTCATTGCTATTGAATTATTAGTAGGCATTATAATTTTACTTCACTGCATGCAACATTCATGAAAATTAAATCATTCCTATGGTAATAAAACAATTAACAGGTATTACCTTTCTTGACTTAAACGATTTGAACTCTATAGGCTATAGCTGGCTTCATCAGGTTATTGAAGTGAAATATTGATTTCAACATCAATAATAATAATATTAATAGTAATATTGTCATATTATTTTAATAATAATAATAAAAATAACAGTAATAATAATATAATAATAATTATAATTATAATAATAATTATAATAATAATAAAATAATAATAATAATAATGGTAATAATAGTACAGTGTACATACTTAATATTCAATATAAATTTCAAAAGAAAATTCTGGCGAAAGAAATTTACAGCAGACATGTTTGTTCCTGGCTTTTCCCTTTAATAATTGCTTTATTTTGATTAAAGACCATTAGGCCTAGGCCATTCTAAGTATTATAAACATGTTTCTCCCTGCATTCATTCAAGAGGCGGGTTAAACCTGTCATACACAGCTCTGGTCATGAAGATTCAGTACTTATCGCTCATTCATCGTTACTCGTCTACTAGGCATGTTACACAAATAAAGTGACAATTAAGTAACAATAGGAAAAACATACTTACGTACAAATAGATTATAAAAGTTACAGTATTACGTACAAATAGATTATAAAAGTTACGGTATTACTAAATCATATCACAAGTGCCATTACATTTGCTGAATTTATATGCCCACTAGTAATACTTGACGTATTTAGATTTACACAAAGACGCCATTATCTTCAGCTGAATATCCGAGGTTTGATTATATAGTAGGCCTATATAGAATCAGTTTCCAACAAAAGCGCATTTGAATACGTTTCTGTTTGGATTTTAGTTTCGTTTTAGTACAGTAATATTAAATGAAGCCGGAAATAATTTTGCATTTATTGCTTGTTAAAGATTGTGATAAATCACAAACATTATTATTATTATTAATATTATTACCAACATATAACATCATAAATATTATGATCAACATAATTATTCAATTATAGGATCCCCATTGTGTCCCCTTTGTGGTAACTGAAGATTACCTTGGCCTACATGCTGTTTAATTGTAAACAAGCGAATAATTACTGGTGCAAAATATTATCGTACTAAATGCTCAGTTATTTCCAAATACTTGCGAAAAAAAGATAGCAGATATTCGGAACATCTTACCTACTTCCCATATTCTCATAAATCTCTCTAAGCTATAACAATATTAATGTTGAAAGGGTAGTGACTATTAAATACCTCGGTGTAAATTTTGATTGCAACTTCAGTGGCGGATCCAGGGGTGGGTGGTGGGGGGTGTTCAGGGGGTTCGGACGAACCCCACTCTGTGAAGAAACGTAACAAAATACTACTGGGTTCTGGCTTACAAAATTCATGATAACTAGATGCGGATCCAGATCTTCGCCCACTTCGCCCAGGCGGAGGTCAGGGTGAGAAATCAAAATAAAATGTTGACCATTTTACACTGATTGTACTGTATGCCCTACCAGAGAGAGGTACATTCCCAATACATTATGGTCTTCCACTTCTATAGCACATGATATATGCATAGCAAACGTTATGTAACCACTACTCAGCTCCAGTGGCGTATGTATGGGCAGTGCAGTATTGGGGGCTCGTTCAATAGTAAGTTTGCGTGTTACGGACGATCTGCACATAAAACGAACATGATTATAAAAATCTTAAAATATGAATGACGTGCGTATAAGACGACCCGTCCTATTATACGCGAATATACGGTATTTGTTTTAAAACCATAGGTCACCTGAGCGTTAGTCATACAGTGGCGGATTACAACAAGGGAGCCTTGGGCAGGAGGCCGAATCCTTGGCTGAGGGTGGTGAGGTTGAGGTAAGAAAATTGGTAATTATGTCTCTAGTTGGCCAGAAATGGCACCCTCAGACTTTAATTTGAATATAATTTTCTTTTTTCTCCACTTTTAATTTTGAAAAAAAAAATAGAGGGTGGGCCGGATAGGCCCCACCCCCTGAATCTGCCACTAAAATACTCATCATAATAAGTTTTTCAATTTATCCTTGTAATCATAATCATGCTCACTTATATATTTCGTTCAAACAACATTCATAAAAATAATGATTTATAATCTACTGATTAGTTTGTTACGGTACGTATTCGAACCATGAAAAACAAATAAGATAAACTTAAAACAGTAAATTTAGTCTCTTTGCATGTACAGTACTTTTAAAGTTAATCGAGGTTTTTAATTTTCTCTTCTTTTTGAATTTCACTTTTGTGCAAGTAGTATTGCGAATACACTATTATGAGTGGAAATACTACCGTCTAGGGAGGTATGCACACAAAACAAATAGTTGGTGATTTACTAATAATTTATCATTATCGCGAGATTGCGTCAACGTAACGACGGAGTTTGAAAACGTGACTACTTAAATGAAGTCCAAATAGATAGACCTATCCGTGTCAAAGGCTGTATAAAATTCAACTGACTAATTGACTAGTATAAATTTTTGAAATTTTGAAATACAGGAATTTATGTATGCAGATTATATTAACACTGGCAAATACTGGTTTTAATAATATACAAAATGAATAAATCGTTTATAGTATATATATGTGTGTATATGTATATGTATATGTATTTTGGTGTGTGTGTATATGGGTGTATCTGTGTATGCATGGATACAGTGGTGTGTGTGTATGTGTGTGCGTGTATACTGTATGCATAGGGCCTATAGTGCATTATATATGTGAGGAGGGGTGAGGGGTGTTTATGGTTTATTTTTAAACTCAAAATTGTATTTTTTCTTTAGATAAGTTCTTACATTTGTATAGCTTTAAGTTGTTCTTTTTTTCCATCCTCATTCATTAACTAAGATTGACTGCGCCACTTTCTTGCATGCTGCCACTGATATAAAAGTGTAATATCAAATAAATATTATTATTATTAGAGTACAATAAATAAATCATACAAAAGCACCTAATGGCGATAAATAGAAAGGAAAATAACATTTCTATACCTGGCAAACAAGGCATGGAATAATCTTCCAAACAACATAAAAACTAAACTGAATGAACTAACCTACATTCTTTTAAAAGTTTAATACACAAATATTCAAAACTACAGTATTTATAGTATATCGTTTATTCGTTCATTTGCTTTTAATTCAATGTACACTGTTTTTTTTTAATACTGCATTTAAATTTACTAACGTGGAGCCATAACCACTGAACCGAATATTGTCAATAGTATGTATATTATGCAAATAATTATATAAATGTATATTTAGAAATCCTCACTTTGTGTATTTGTATCTTTTATTATGTTAAAATGCCGGAGGCCTGTTTATTGAATAAAAGCAATAGCGTGTATCAATGTTAATGGTTGGCCCTATTAACCATCTAGGATCAAAATGTATAGAATTGGCCTATGCTGGGCCCTGTTAATCACACGACATAGCAAATACAGTACCATACAACCAATGTAAGACGAAGTAGCCCAGTCTAATAAGTTGTGCCTCTTTGCTAGGATTAGCTGGAATGGCTCAAGTATCATTCTGAGGAGAGTACCGACTGTTAGGCCTTTCAAAACGTGGGTTTACTCGATTGGTTTTATTTTATTTAGTTATTTATTCTTTGTACAGGAAAGCCTGTTCAGTAGATTACAGCTGATTACAGTATCTACTGTTTCCTCACAGGGCAAACGTCATTTGGCGTGGGCAGCATACCTCAAATCTTTAATCAAGAATATTAATATTATTTTTTTTAAATCGACTCCCAAGCAAGTAAAGGAGATTTTTAATCTTTAAATAGGCCTATATCTCAATGCAGTTAATTACCTATTGACAATTAAAAAACAAAACAGTGGAACAATTTTTTCCACCATGAAATTCGCAATACGCTGAATTATTTGGACAAAACGAATTGATTGTGGTCATTATTAAGGCATAATAAGCTATATTAACTTCTGAGTTCAGTTATAAACCTGGGTGCTTGCCTGGGCCAACTATATAACATGTTCTCCTCTATTAATGCATTGTCTTCTTTAAAAAAAATATATATGTTTTGGAAGTGGAAAAATACCAGTGTCGGTGCCATCAGCGCGGGGTTTGGGGGGAAAGCCCTGAACCCTCCGTCGGGAAATAGTGGAGAACACTACTCAGAGCCATTTCTGGGCATCTAGAGGTACCTATTTTTAACATTTGCTCACCCAAGCCCCAACCATGATGGAGTTGAGGTGGGCGTCAGGAACTTTGTTGACCCCCAATAATGCTATACGTAATTGGTTGGATGCTATTGATAAAAGTAAAGTTATTGGATTAGTCACATTTGATCATAATATCTTACTGCTACATAATGCCCTGATAAAATGTCATTAGCTTGGTTTAGAAGCTAAGTTGCATTCTGGGACCCTCACAATTTATAATTTTTTTATAAATGATTTTCCAAATTATCTGTCCGAGTGTTGTATAAATATGCAAAAATTATACTAGAATTTATTATGCAGGTAGAATGACAACAAAAACAAGCGTGAAAAATATATTTTTTCTACTATTTTGCAACACACACACACTAAATAAAATATGAAGAGTATATTGGAAAGTTATTATTAAGGCATACTAACTTCAAATATCAATAGCATTGCCGTATCTAGGGGAGGGCGCAGTGCGGGGTCTTGGGGAAACTAACCCTGGACACTTTTAAACTTTTAAACTGACTGAACACTACATTTACAGTCAGAGAGCCATTCTGGGTATCTAGAGTATCTTATTTTAAACTTTTCTCCCCTGAGTTGCACTTAAAACTGTCAATTTTAGACAATGAAATGCGTTGGTAGAGTGTAACAATCCTGTTATTATCATCTACAGCGAAGAAATTTATATATATTTTTTAGTAATTTTGAACTTCAATCTATCAATT